CCTCAGACAGAAGACCTAATACAGGCGACAGTTCAAGTTTTTCAATTGGATTACTCGAAATTGAATGGGGAAAAAACAGCTACTAACGTAAACAAATGCTCACCAACCAATCAGGATCAAAATACTCACACTAAGTCAGTTGCAGGTATACCATTAGCTGCAAAAGCTAGCGCATGCTGCTCTTTCCATATTCAGATGCACATATTCATGCGAACAATCATTTTCAGGCATAAACCTTATCATGAGTAAATTGGAGAAGTCGTCGTAATAATGAAATTTTGGAATCATGCTTAAAATCAAATTCAATAACATGCAAACCTGATTTACTAAAACTATCCAAGCAATTGTTGTAAGACAATTGTTCATCTCGTTAGTGTTGGTACGTCATTATCATGATTAAAGTTCTTGGATACCTTACAATTTTATTTTATCAATAGTTTGAACACGTAACGAAGTAGAGAAAATAAATGAAAGAAAAAACACGGAACGAGTATCCAAGTGCGGATGGGAGGTCAACCTCAGCGAATGCACGTTTAATATAATTGCACGTTAATTACGCTAATTTAAGTTTAAAAAATGTGGCTGCGTGGCTCTCAACAGAGCTTTCAATCATTGAACTGTTCGTAGTAATTGGCTCAGTTGACTGAGTTTGCCAATCACGGGGATAACTATGGTTAGGGCTGCAGGTCTGTCGCGGCGCGAATTTCCGCGAAATTGTCTTCTTTTTTTCTAAAATCCGCGAATTTCTTTATATGTTTTGATTTCCGAGAAAATTGTTTAAAATTTGAATTCTTTTTTTCATTTTTTATTTATTATTTTTATTAAACAGAATTTTTTACTTTCCTGAAGCCTTAAATTGAACATGTAAAATTGATTAGATATTTAGAGGAGCGAATCAATAGCAAAATGAGAAGAACATAGGTGAGAGATAAGAGATAATCACAATCTTGTCACATAAGGTGGTCTTTCTACACTTAGAGAGGGTAATAGACTGATAGGATTAACTTCCTGAAGTCAGTAAGAGTGCAAAAGAAATTGCAAACATAAAAGAAGGAAAATGTTATAAATCAAATCTTTGACAGAAAAATTGTTACACAGGCTATTGCACTGGGCAATGAAATTTCTACTGCCTTTCTACATATCCAGACAATTTTTCGTGGGGGGGGGGCTTCTTGTGATTTCTTAAATAGGAATCAGCTTCTTAGATGAGAAGGAGAAAAGGCTTTTGTAACTAACTAGTAGTTTGAATGTAGAATGTTTGAGTTTTCACAGCAATTACTTCTTACAAAGCAACGGTGAAATAATTGCATGTTGAGGAAGGAAGATTGATGGAGCTTTGGAAATCAAAGACGGAACGCTATCCAAAAGTGGCAATTCGATGTTTGTTGGTGCCTACAAACAGCGTGGACGCAGAAAGATAGTTTTCTAAGTATAAAAATGCATCAAGTGATGAAAGACGAAGCATAAGAGAATAATCTGACAATGTATAATACCTTGTACCAAAATGCTGCTCATTTAAATAAAAATATTAATATTGCTTGAAATTAAAAGAATTACTTTTGTTGTGTATTTTGTAAGCTTTTTTTATTATTTGCGCAATTTCAGTCTTTTGCATCATTTATATAGTAATTTTTTTTTTATGAATCTGCGTAATTTTCAAAACTTCCCGCTAATTTCGGGTCTTTTTTCCCGCGACAAACTTGCAGCCCTAACTATTATCAACACTCACATTAATCACACTATTCCATTTTTATCGATGTCGATAGTGATCGGCTTTTTATAGTTTCTGATATTTATCTTATGCTCGATATTTGTAGTAAGATATAATACTAACGATGTGCAATGAGAAAACTTTTTTTTAAAAAAAACATCGCTATGACGACGTTTGAAAATATGGCAATTTACTGTTACATTGCCCAATTTTATAACTTAATTTGCTTCTTTACAGCCCCAGCATGATTTATATACATTATAGACGGCACTTTTGACTACACCTTAAAAGCACAAATTATTTTAATCGAATAATAATATTATTGAGAAAAAAAACTGTTATGAGTTTTTAGCAGTCACAAAATATTTATTTTATATATTTTTTTCCTGCTAAGCGCATTCCAGAAAAATAAAATAAGAAATAGTGCAGGATTTTATCATTATAGTTAAAATGTATTTGAACTCGGATATAAGGTAACCCATAAAGTTCTAGTCGTTTTTGCTTTGCCGTTGAATAAAGTGAGAATAAAGTAGGCAAATTAGGGAATTTTCCGCATAACAAATAAAAATTAATTAAATGTTAAAAAGCGTGCAAAAAAAAATATTTTTTTAATGTGAGTTAAAAACTAGCAAGTATCACTGTTGCAATATTTGAAATTTAAAAAAAACCATCTGCAGTCATTTTTATCAAAAGCGAATTCTAAATCAAGCAGTCATTTTTATCAATAGCGAATTCTAAATCAATGAAAAAATTCCATTTTTCACGTGGTTAACGACTCAATCGAGCGAACGAACAAAAAAATTCGAATGAATTTCAGAATCCGGGGCAACATTTGTTCCTTGCAGCCACTATTAATATTTCAGGATGATAGAACAAATTTTTCTGAACTTATAAGACACACCTACCCACACAGACAGACAAACTCTTTATTATAGGCGTAATTATCAATTGTTTTAGTACTATATTTAGTAGTTTTCAGTTAATCGTTTGTACCTGCTTTGAATTTTTCGTTTCTGCCTCTTACGTTCTTTCCGCGGCAATCAAAGAAGGTTAGAAAACTCAATGGTTAAGAGATACATACAAACTTTCCAATTTGAAACAACTGAAATTGCACAGTAATCAGTAATATTGTAAACTCTTAGAAGGTTAGAGGCATCACAAGGTTTGTACATACTTCACAATATTTCGTAAGGTATATTTGACGCAGAATGAAACTATGAACGTCATTGGCATATGTAGGAACCCCCTCTCCCTCCATGTATCAAACAAATAAAAGAAATTTTCCTGATCGTTGCTGATTTAAATTTAGTTAAAAAAATAAAAAAAATTAATTTTATTGAAAATATTCAGCAAGTGAGAAAAATTTTCTTTTTTTCAATTCCTACTATTAGTTCACACTCTCCCTATATTTTGTTCAAATTTTCAATGCTGTGTCATCAGATGGTAGCAGTCGTTCACGTCACGAAATTTATACTTTTATAATTGTCTGATACCACGTGCCTTTTTTTTTTTCAATTCCTACTATTAGTTCATACTCTCCCTATATTTATGTATCTTGTTCAAATTTTCAATCGTTAATAAAATAATTTTTATTCATCCACTCAAGTTCAAATACATTTTTTTAAACTTGTAGTGGATGACACTTGATGTTAATACAGTTTTTTCAGAGATTAATTCATTAAATTTAATTAATTAATTTTAGTTTTATGTGGGAGAAAATTTTTTTTAATTATTTAATTAAAGGTAACCAAAACAAAAATGTTCTTTGTTGACTTAGGTAGGAATTGACTTTTAAAAAAAATTATATATTACTTGTTTATGTTTAAATTTGAAATTTTTTTTACTTGCGTATTTTAGTTTCACTGTCCACTCCACGAGAAATTGGACATCTTTGAAGCCCATGGTTTAAATTCCTTTTTCAGTTAACTTAATAATACCAATAGACATTTGACGTGGACTTCTCACTTAAGTGATATTAAGGATAAGATAACGAATTTCAACCAAATGACAAAAAGGGTAGCGAGAGCCACCTGGGGACTAAGTTCATTCATCCTTAAAAAGATATATCTCTTGGCCAGCGAAAAGATAATACTCTACGCCGCCAGTGTATGGTATAGAAATACTGTCAAAATCAATAATAAGCTTGCTTCTATTCAAAGAATTCCTTTGCTCTCCATTACAAAATGCTACTCCACAGTGAGTACGGATTCTATCCAGATACTGGCGGGCATAAAACCAATACACTTGAGGGTGATTGAAACAATTTACGATAAAAGGATGAAATGGGGCTGGAAGAAAGATGATATTTTTCCAATCATTCCAAAAACAGTCTTTGACTCAATCTCAAACAGATCAAATATGACAATAACTACCCCAAGACATCCAGCCACTCAGATCGCTGTACCCTGGGGATATGCCTCACCAAAAAACGTTGGATGGGAAATTTATACAGATGGCTCTAGGATGGAGGTCGAACCACAACAATTTAGAACAGGTTTTGGCATCGTTACAAAATTCAACGGAATTACTACAGCAAAATCCTCCTCCAGAGCATCTGACTATTGTTCAGTCTTTGAGGCAGAGCTGATGGCAATTANTACTCTCCCTATATTTTGTTCAAATTCTCAATGTTGGGTCATCACATGGCAACAGTGGTCCACGTCACCGAATTTATACTTTTACAATTTTCTGATACCGCGTGCCTTTTTTTTTTTTCTTCTCAATTCCTACTATTAGTTCACACTCTCCCTATATTTTGCTCAAATTCTCAATGAAATTTTTTTTACTTGTGTATTTTAGTTTCACTGTCCACTCCACGAGAAATTGGACATCTTTGAAGCCCATGGTTTAAATTCCTTTTTCAGTTAACTTATTAATACCAATAGATATGAAATGCATTGAGATTATTCAATATGCCTACTTTGGTATGACAGAGAACTTAGCGTTATGCACTTTACAGTTTTTATGATAAATGAATCAAAACTTCAAACAAAGTACGGAAGCTCTTAAAATTCTTTTGCTAGAAATAATAACTAACATTCCAGTCTGAGGACTGTGTAGAATACGATTGGAATTTTGAAATAAAATGAATGTACTTTTAGGAAAATGTATTTGCATTATTTAAAATAGGCATTTAAATATTATAACATTATTTATAACTATAAATGTCACCATAAAATGATCGCATTATATGTTTCCTGATTGCATTATTTATAACGAAGTCATAAAATTGACCACAGATATTTAAACATTGTTTATACATGCAAAGCTGCAATTCAGCTGCTCTATAACCACGTATTTATCATATCTTTAGCAGTTTACAGCGCTCAAATCAATATAAAAGAAGGAAGCTAGTTGCCATCTTAAGTTCATTTCTAGAACAATCAAGGACAACATGAAGTCAATTATTCTTCTCTGCGCATTGGCACTCTTTGTTGCTGTTTGTGGTAAGTTTCGGAAAAAAAAAACTTATGTAACTGTTTATTTCAATATTAATTAGAATAAAATGAGCCAAATTAACTTTTTGGTATTTATAGGGTAAAACTAGACTTGTGAAACCTTTTATCGAGATCGTGAAAAAAAAGTCATTTCCCTTATTGGGTCTTTATTTTAGTTTTCACGCATTGTTATCTACAAACTAAAAATATTTTATGAATAATGTATTTGTGCATTTTATGACTGAAAAAAATTTTTTTTTTCAGTCCGGTTTTTAATCTGTAATAGCGGTTCATTAGTGGTCAACCATTGTCCTGAAACAATCTCTTAAACTGCTCATAAAAATAGACGAAAATGTTTTCATGAAAAGCATAAAATACTTTTGAAGTAAATTTTTTAAAAAAATACTCCCATAAATAATTTAAATTAGAAAAAATCCAAAAATGTGTTTTTTGAGGTCATATTTACAACAACATATAAATATTTCTAAGATTATGACTTATGTAGTTTAATTCGAAAATGTGAGTACTTATTAGAATGAAAATGAGAGTACTTAATATCTTAAATCCTATTATAAATATCTCTTAGTATACTGATTTTCCGTACTATTGTAAGTTTTAGTTTTACAGGCTGAAACTTAACAGCTCTGAGTTTGACAGGTATATTAGCCGTAAGCTAATTAGAAAATCCAGCTATTTGCTTTGCAAGGCATCTACAAGGTTCATTGCAATATTTTTAACGTGTAACGACAGCAGCTTGCAAAAATCAAATTTTCAAATTAGCCTGCGACACATACATTGGAGTTCTATATTTTCTTTTTTTTTTTTAATTCGACAAATGAGTAAATAAATAAAATAAAGAATGGATCGGACGCACTTTAGACTAACATTTTTTAATACGAAACCAGAAAATTTATATAATTACTATTATTTGTCACAAAATTCAAAATTTGTAAAGTTTATCTTACTATGCTATCTGAGATAAATTATAAAATATTATTTTCACAATAACTACCATTTCTAAGAATCGCGTGCGGCAGTCAGGCGAAAACTTAACAGACATTCTTGAAAATATTTTATTTGGAATGGTCTGACAAGCAACAAAAACATAGTTTTGTAGTTTTATTAGCTGCGCCATCTGTTGATGAACTTTGTAAATAATTTTTACGCTCGGGGAAAGGAAATGGTTTCTTAAACAAAGCAAATTTTCCATTTATCTTGAATTAATTTTTTCAGGTAGCAGTATTTTTGAGTCACCCAGTATAACTCAGTATTTTTGGAATAAAAATTACTTTAATTAATTGTATTTTGAAATTTTGTGAAGGTGCTGACGATGTGTGCAGCTTGCCTTCAGAGACCGGACCTTGTAGAGCAGCCGCCAGACGATTCTTTTTCGATAAAGCATCTGGGGAATGCAAACCGTTTACTTATGGAGGATGCCAAGGAAATGGAAATAATTTTGTGACTGAAAAAGAATGTCAAGACGCTTGCGGTAAAGTTTATTTTTCCTTTAATTTCGAAGAATAAAAAAAGAAAGAAATTCAACAAATGTGTTGTATATTATATTAAGTAAGCCAATTTAAATCGATGTCTCAGTGGTCACTGGGTGCAAAGTAGAAATGGTTAGTGATGATAGATATTCTAGCCTTCAATAACGATTTTACATGACACGGATAGCCTGCGTAAGGTCAAATCTTAATGGATGCGATTTTTTTGTGAGACCTAATTGACGGCGAGTTTTTTGTGGGTAAATATTTTCGACCATTTATTGTTCTTATTCGCATACTAATTTTTTCCGCATACAAAAAAAATGCTGACAGTGAGAATGATTTGGTAGATATGAATTTGTTGATATTTATGGACTGCACTGCATCTTTAGTTTACACTATATGCTAAATATTTGCGAATTCAGTAATACGAACGAGAACTTGATTGGTAAAATATATTTACAGGTGAAAAACTCAACAGTCATGTTCTCTTTCGCATCTCCGAATTCGCATACGCGATTTTTTTTTCGTGCATGCAAAGAGAATGGCCCTTTTGGGGATCATTCTCTCCGCATGCGATTCCCATACGCAAGCTTTCCATGAAAGAGTGATGAGCTAGCTTTCATGGAAGGCTTTTGGTGGACACTAACCCACATTTTTGTGTCACGAAAACCTAGCACAGTTAGCCCGATGACAAGGGGATTCTGACCCATGATCCGTTTACTATCCGTAGGTGTGAGCCGGGAAAAGAATTCAATATCAACCAATCATCATTGCAATTCGAAACCAGGCCACCTCATGAAGATGCAAGCGCTCAATCCCCTGAGCCATCACGGCTCAAATCAGTGTAATATCGTAAATGAAATGCTACACGACGGAAGAATAACATGTTCTCTCTTTTGAGTGATCGCATAATTTTCCGTTTTGGTGATCAGAATTGACCGCCCAAATCATGCCATTTAATGCTATTCTTTAAGTATATGGTTATCGTCAACAAGTTCATGGCCAACCATGCTTTGAATAATGGAATTGAGAACTATGAAACGAAATTCAGCCAGATTTATGCAAAGCTGTCATTAAATATTTCGATAAAGTGTATATATAACAGAAAAGTCCCTTCATTAAGCGAAATATTATTTCATGCATTTCATACATAATCCATACATATTTTATACATTTATTGCATACTTTGAGTGAATCAATAAAGAAAATTTACACTTTTGTATTAAAAACCTGTGGTTATTTTTAACTAAATTACTTCTTTCGTGAATTTTGCTTAACTTGTAAGTTTTACAACTTATTCCTATATTTGCTTAAATTTTCTTTTACAGCTTAAATGCGTCAACAGGAAAGAAAAGAAGAATTTTTTTGTCATTGGATGATAAAATTTAGAAGAAAAAGTTGATGTAGAAAAAGTGTTATGAATGTCAATAAAGACAATTGTCACTGACTTTTTTCAATGATTTTTATTATTATAAACATAGTGCAAATTAGCTTTTGAACTAAAAGATTAAAATGCAATCTAAATGATGACGAGGAGTTGATTTTACCCTATCATGCATGAATTTTTCATACGAATTATAAAAGATATTTAGATCTGCTACAAACCCATTTAGTATCTCAGGATTGGAAATTTTTGTCCCACATGGTCAAAAATTGGTGCTTTCGTGTCCAAGTGAGGACATATGTTGTTGTGGTATATTTTATAAATAATATATTTTAATCATGCAAAAACTTAATGTTCAAACTTCAGTTATAAGTTATACGAAAACGTAAAATAATACTAGCCATTCCAGTACTGTAATATATCCTCCAAAATATTTATATTTAATTAAATTTCCTTCTTTCGTATTAAATTTCCAATTTTTTTCTTGAATCTTCCATTGACTTCCGATGAGAACACATTCTTTTAATTTTCTTGAATTGCCTGCCATCTGGTGTTCCAGATGACTGGCCAAAAACTGTTTGAAATCTCCAAATGAGGGCTACATTCAAATTACAGCGTAAATGTGATCCTGAATAGCATTGCGAAGCGAAAAATATACATATATCATCATATGAGGCCCATGAGAACGAGATGGTTAAGCATGCTAATTAATTTGTGCTGACTACATTGAAAGATTAGCCCTCTTAATGTTCATTTCACACTTCGCTTACGTCTGCAATTATTTCTCAAAAAAGTTTGCTCGTAATTCTAAAACGCTTTAAAAAAATGATTTCGAGCAAAAATATTTTTATTTAAGAATTATCAATTAGGGCCCTATAAGCTTGGCAAGAATGCGAAAAACTGCATAACTCACAATTGTCTGCCTCATCGCCAAATATCCGTATAGATTTTACTTTACAGAAAAATATCTTCTATTAATCAAAATCGTTTTTTCCTCCATAGTACGGTACAGTACTTTTATTTATGTCACACTAGAGCTGCACAATGGGTTATTGGCGACGGTCTGGAAAAACATCCCTGAGGATGATCTGAAGACAACATACACACGCTATATTCGGTTTTGCAGAGAGGACACATTCACACACAATCCATCCATCCGCAGATCGCAATTTTGACCTGAACGATCAATCTCCGTTCCAATACCCCCTTGGAGGACTTTGCGATCTAACATATTTAGCTTGCACCGGTCACCATTTTGTACACAGAGAGTTTTCGACCGGCAGAGATTGAACTCACTACTTCTCGGAAGTCCAATGCCCTACCAGCCAGGCTGTGACGGCCCTTTTCCCTTTATGGTGCTTTATCTTCTTTGCTTGACTTTCATCTTAAAAATATCAGAAGAATTATTCTTTTGTAAGGAGGAAGATAACTTGCCTGATGGTCTATTTGTTTTCTAAATACAAAGGCTTACAATTCTAAGTTGGAAATAAGTTCAAATGATGCTCAGTGCTCAAAATAAAACTATATAATCCTAAATAACTTTTCTTCTAATAATCGGATTTTCACCGACTAAGTATCAATTTTAATGGTTCAAAACACCTCAAATATGCAGTTCATTAGCTCTTACTATTAAATAAATTACGTAATCAGAAACAAAAACGTACTTTCTCTGAATAAATATACCTTTTTTATAGACGGATTCGGATATGTGACCCCCAAAATCTGGGAAAAACGGCTGTTCAGGAGTGCGGTCCAAAGTTTGGATCGTTTAATTTTAATTTAATTTTTTGCGTATTACGCTACATCTCTAGGACTTTTTAACGAAATTGAAAATCTTTAGCTCACAAACATAAAATTCGTTTATCCAAAGGTAATACCATCCAAAAAATAACTATTGGAAAATGATTTCATTCTTTATTATTTTGTTTATTAATTTTGAATTGTAAGGTGCACAATTTTTTACATCATTTCAAACAGTATAATTTTCCATGGGAGTGATATCAGAGAAACCTACCTTCAAATTTTTCGACATTTTAATCGGAATATTGCGCTATTCTTCTTGCTCTACAATTTCTTTCAAAACAAATGCATTAAAAATGGTTTATCTTTTCTGATTCAAAAAGCTATATGGATGATATAAGAAACTCCAACAGTAAGCCTCACTCTATTATCCCTCATATTTTAAAGTAATGCATTGAACTCACTAACAATAACTACGAAATAATATATGTTTGGATTCCTGGACATATGGGTATTAAGGGTAACGAAACAGCAGACTCAATAGCCAAATCGACACACAATCTTACAAATAAGCCACACTGTTTACCTGACATTCAAAATTTAGTGACTGACTCTATTACCCATCTCAAATAGATCAACTGAAATACTGAACTAAACAGCAAATTGTATGTGATCAAACCAGATATTAAGCCAATTGCACCATTCACTAACTACAATATGAAAAAGCAGGTTCTTATCAACTGACTACACATTGGGCTCACCCGCTTGACACACAAATATTTAATTTTAAATGAAGCACCTCCACAATTTAATTATTGCAAAACGTCTCTTACAGTAAAACACTTTCTGACTCAGTGTATGAAATATAAATCTAAAAGACGATTTTATCATTTTTAATTGGAGACGCACCTCATCGAAACTTAAAACTCTACCTTATCGGTTTTTGCAATTTCCTTTAGTTCTAGTTATAACCGAGTTGATAAGTTTTAAACTAGATATTTTAATTTGAGACAAGTTGCTCATTTGAACCTAGTTGTTCTGATTTTAACCAAGTTACAGTAATTTTAACCTAGTTTAGGGTGCGGTATAACCAAACCTTGGCTTTTGAGCCAAAAGTTTACATCCATCAATCAATACCCTTTTTAGACTCGTATGTATTTTTGTCGACTAAATATGGAGGTAGTCGCAATATGGAAAATGTGGTCCCAATAGTTTAATCGGGAGAGCTATCGAAATCTGGGGTTTTAAAACGATTTAAAAATTTTGGATTTTGTCCTTTAAAATTGTATAGTTTAAAAGGGTGTGAATCTTATATACCTGGGAATTATAATTTTTTTTCGAACCTTATGAAATACAGTAATAAAAAGTAATAAATAAAAATTAAAAATTATTTTTTACAAAAAATCATTTTTGAATAAATGAACTTTACTTAAAACTCACTTAAAAATTTCTCGATTTATGGAGAAATGAGCAAAGAAATCAGCAAAAAAAGTGAAATTATCATTAAAGGGCTCAAACTTTCTAAACTTTCGGGACCATATTTCTCCCGATTGATGCTGTGTCCCTCCCCCTTCTCATATTTTGATGACCAAAAATCTAAATTCGTTGAAAGAAAAAGGTATGTTTCTTACTATGTATAAATATCTAGTGATGGCGTCGCAGTTTGCCATTGTTATTGGTGCAGTTTTATTCGCCGGAAAATCACATGGTAGGATACAGTTTACCCACATTAATTTTCCCCAGTTTTCCCACATTACTCTGGCATGTTGAAAGATTTTGACAGTCCGCCATAAAAACCACCTGAGAAATAAACAGAGGAACCTCATCAGCCATTCAAAAGTCTGTTGATTCCTCAATGTAATGAATAAACTATTCGAACTTTCTAGGAATTCTTACAGACCACCAGGGAATAAGGCTTCAAGTGCTTCTTCCACTATCCTCCTCCCCATAGACATTTCAACTCCTTTACGAAATGCCATCGGCCTGAAACGTAACGTAAACGCAACATGAAAACGTAAAACAGTTGCTAGCGTAAAGAAATGCCATGTTTCAACAACCAATCAGGATCGAGATCACTTGCAGGTATTCCATTAGTTGAAAAAAACTAGAGCATGCTGCTCTTTCCATATTCTGATCTACATATTCATGCGAGCAAACGTTTTCAAGCATGAATCCTTATCATGAGTAAATTGGAGAAGTCGTCCTATTAATGGGCTCTGGGAATCATGCATGAAATTAAAAATAACAACATACAAACTTGATTTACTCAAACTTTCCAAGAAGATGTATGGCTAACATTTCGTCTCATAAGTGTTTGTTTGTCATTATGATGATTAAAGTTTTTCGATACTTTACAATTTTATTTTATCAATGGTTTGGACACATAGAGAAAATAAATTAAGGAAAAAATGCAAAACGAGTATCCAAGTGTGGATGGCAGGTTAACCTCAGCGAACCCACGTTTAATATAATTGAACGTTAATAACGCTAATTTAAGTTTAAAAAATGTAATAGGGTCTCGGTGCTGCCATCTAGTGTGGCTGAAACTAGACGTCCAAATTAACATGGCCAACGGTATCTCACCCATTGTGGTGGTCCTGAAAGAGTGCATACCACTTCTGGAGAGCGCACTAGGTCTGCTCATCGGGAAAACTGATTGTGCAGCTCATAGGAAATGAAAAAAAATTTAAAAAATGTGGCTCCGATGTAAGAAATCTTTCAATTTGATTATATATGAATCATACCTGAAAAAAAAAGGAATGATTTTGACTGTATTTTAAGGAGCAAACGTCTTTTTAAAAGTATGAACCCAAAAATTCTTCTGAAATAATCCAATTTGGGATATTTAGTCTATTGAAGTGTAGCTATTTGTCGCTTCAATTTGAAATTCTGTAGCATGAATACTACTTGTGATTCTTGCTCATAGTCAGTTGTATAAAGCTTACCGGTGGTGATTATGCTATCTAAATACGTGTCCTTTAGTTATGATATTGCTGTTAATTACTAGTTTCCGTCGATATTTTTCTACCGTATGACATATCTTGCAATGGCTTAAATATTGGCTATGATAAAAATAAATTTATATTTTCCTTAATGCAATTCTCAAGCATAGAATGGTATTTCTTTTCATTATTATTGAAATGAATGTGAGCAGAGCCGGATTATACCTTTCGTAGGCCCTAGGCACAGAGCCGGATTATACCTTTCGTGGGCCCTAGGCATAGCCGTTTTTGGCCCCTCCCCTCCTTCCCCCACTCCTCCCCTCTTTTCAAAATATATGCTGAAATTTCCTTGCATATTTTTTTTTACATTTTTATTAATATGGATTTTAATTTACAAATTTGTTTATCGAACTTTATCTGCAATACCGACATACTGCCGATATTGCAGTTGATATCGATAATACCATTATGATTAGTTCGATTGATAACTATGTTAAAGATAATAAACTAGTGAATACTTTTCCTAACGTTCACACATTGCATTAAGAATATATTTGTCGATTCTTGGATCAAATGCAGAAGGAGAAAGATCTTTCTCCAGATTAAAATTGATAAAAAATTATTTGCGTTCAACAATGAATCAAGATCGTTTGGCATCGCTCGCACTTATGTCTATTGAATACGACATTTTGCGTAGTTTGGAATTCGACAGCATAATACAAGATTTCGTTGAATCCAAAAATCGCAAAAAAGTAATATATTAGATCATAAGATTCTGCAAAATAATTTATTACCGAAAAATATTATATTTTTATTTGTATCTTCATAATTTTGTGCAAAATACACTTGTTGTTTTTAAAGCTAAATTATTTTTGTCAACAAATTTTTTTCTCCCAAGTTTTTCGTAGGCCCTAGGCACGTGCCTAGTGTGCCTATAGGTTAATCCGGCCCTCAATGTGAGGTATGGTTTTTAAAGATAAACAAAAGCTTTGCATGGATAAAAAAGGCCAAATCGTAAAGATTATTAACAAATATATATTAGTTTGTTATTATAATATACCTTTGATGCACTTTTTTCTAGTAACTTTGACCTCTGAAATATTTATGAAACTAATCAACTTTAAAACAAAGCATAAATAGTAGGTATTAAATCTCAGGTTAGTGTTTCAGGGCTCTATATATTAATCACATTTTCGGATAAAAATTATATTGTCTGTAAAAAGTTCACTGTTTTTAAATATGGATAATTGTTTAAATACAAATAACTGCAGGAAAGAGTTTTTAGAAGAATAAAAATTTCCTCACGTTGTTTTATCTTCATTAGAAAGACCTGTAAACTTTTTATTAGAAGTAAAGAAAGGCATTTTTCATTTCTGAACACGTGAAATTACTAAGTTCATTTTCATATGGATATTCTTGTAATTTAAATGATCAAGTGACTGCCTCAAAACATTACAAGCAACTACATGTTTTGTGTTTATAGTTTTCTCATTTTCACTTACATCAATGAATTTATCTTCTCTTTGTAAGCATATTAGAATATCTCTAAAACTTACAAAATCCCTGACAAACAAATAATAAAAATTAATAGGGTATTTTATGCCTTATAGCCAATTAACAAATACTGATCAGATTGTATTATTTTGTATGGAAACCATTATTATGACACTGCAGAGTCACATGTAGTTTTTTTTTTTTTCTTTAATTGCAAATAGAGACAAAAATATTATGCCGTAGCCTCTTTTAAAATATTTTTGTAAAAAAATCAGTTGCATTAACTTACTCAAAATCAGTTATTCTGAGACCGTATGCATTATTTTTTTAATTATGATTCCCTTTAGTTTTTTTTNAAAAATATCTTCTGCCGCAGCCTCTTTTAAAATATTTTTGTAAAAAAATCAGTTGCATTAACTTACTCAAAATCAGTTATTCTGGGACTGTATGCGTTATTTTTTTAATTATGATTCCCTTTAGTTTTTTGTTTTTTTAATTGCAAATAGAGACAAAAATATAATGCTGTATGCGCATTTAAAATATTTTTGTAAAAAATCAGTCTTATTTCATTGCATTAATTTATCAGTTATTCTGAGACTGTATGCGTTATTTTTTTAATTATGATTCCCTTTAGTTTTTTTTTAAATTGCAAATGGAGACAAATGCTGTATGCACATTCAAAATATTTTTGTGAGAAATCAGTTTTATTTCATTGCATTAACATATTGAAAATCGGTTTTCCTGAGACAGCATACTTCCCCTTTAGTTCTTTTTTAATTGCAAATAGAGACAAAAATATAATACTTACATTACACTTACGTACTTTTTTATTTGCAATATTATAAACTATATCTGGTTAATCTTCATAAAAATTGTAAGCTTTTTCTTACAGTCATTACTTGTTATTTAATGCTATTTCATCTCCGAAAGGTATTTGCTTTAATGTGGATTTTTTTTTCTCTAATAAGATCGTATTAAATTGTCTTGCCCCTAAAAAGATAAACTCTCAAATACATCCACTCTTTTGCATCCAAATTTACCAGAAATATAATTTATTATAACTTATGCAAATCATTATTTTATTAAGTAGCAACTGATCAAGTATTTTAAAAAATATGATCTTTACTCAACCATCAATAAATCAAGATTTTTATTGTAGATAACGTAAGAACATAAAAATACAAACAAAACAAAACAAAATCTAATTTTACGTTGAATTCTTCTTCTTTAGAGAATGCTTCAAATCATATAGCTCTTGTTTATACATGATAAATAAATTTTTTACGAGTGCTTCGAGCTCTAAAGGGTAGTATAAATATAGCTTCTTTCTCTGGTAAGTTATAGAATTAAAAAAAATCACCATGAAGGTTTTTGTACTTATCTGTTGTGTAGCACTCTTTGCCTTTGGTAAGAAGATTTGTGATTTTTAATTTTAAAAAAATTTAAATGCAACCTTAGATTAAATTTTTAAGTGAAATGTCATTAAAAAGCAAATACAAAATGTTTGGCACTAAAACCAAGTAGTTATTTTTTTGCAATTTAAACTTTATTAAAAGTTTGAATGTTAAATAAATGGTTCCGAAAGTAAGTGATTGATCAAATAAATTTCTTTAATCCAGAGTAGCATAGAAAAAAAACTTTTACTTTTTTCTCTTATATTTCCGAAACAAAATTGACATAAACTAGGAAATAATTTTAAAATACGTAAATATGAATTTTTTTTTTTTTAAATAATTAAAGTTTTTAAATAATTAAAATTTTTAATTTCCAAGATGAAATATAGCTACTAAATATGGATAATTATTAGTTACGTTTTTTTTACCAAAATAAATAAAATAAAACTATCATGTTTTCTCTAAAATACGTTGCATCAGAGACAATTTTCTATAATAGCCCACATTAACTATTAATTTAAAAGATATTCATCTCTTATTTGCAACAGTTTGTCATCAATTCATGTAAAGAAGTATAACCCAGTTTTCATAACCTCGATTTTAATTTATTTTGGTCGGTGAAATGTTCATGATTTAAAACCGCTGTAGACATGCAATCAAACTGTTTATGTTGCAATTTTAAGTAATCAACTGTTCGTCAATTAAAAAGTTACAGTTAAAATTGATGGCTTGCAATGGATAGGATGAACATTTCATGAATGCTCGCTTTTTAAGACGGCATTGAAACTTGAGAAGATCTTTGCATCACAGTGTAAATAAAGTTTCGCTTACTTATTCCAGAAACATCTATGGAAACAAACGTCTTATGTGTGCACAAACAATCCTTTTTTTCACCGACTAATAACTGATAAAAGTTCCAACACATTAAATATCTTTNAATTTACCATGTGTGCATCAAAAATTTTCTCGAAGAAATTCTCATATTTAACTTTCTGAAACCACTCATTTTGGACGAAAATATTTACACACACATTTGCAAATTTAAAATGTAAATATCTATTCTCGGGTGGTTGCAGAAGACAAACCTCAATTTTCACATTGATCATTTTTTGTGCTACTATGTAAGTTTCAATACCAGCCTTTTTAAAGTTTTATATCTTAACAATTAGATATCTGTTGCATATTAATTGCTTAATACATAGGTGCACATTAAAGTTATTGTAGCTCGAATGTTTTAATATGCAATTAAATATTTTTAAAAATCTACTTCTTATTTTAATTTAAAATTCAATACCTTTGTTTTAAACAACTTGGTAAAAGTCTGAGAGTAATATTTAATGTTCCTTCAAACATAAAAGAGACCTACATAAAATTTTGATAAAGTTGCGGCCCGCCATTTGATGTGTGTTTTTAATTGTGGCCCCCGGCCTCATGTAAGTTGGAAATGGAAACCCCTGCTCCAGAAACATCTATAGAAACAAAAGTTTTATGTGTGCACACACAATCTTTTTTTCCCTGACTAATAACTGATAAAAGTTCCAACACATTAAATATCTTTTTATAGAGCTATAATAGAGGTTGTCTTTGATTTTATTAAGCACCAAAATATTTTTTCAGAGGAAAACTGTCTTAGAACAATATCATGCACTTTTCAGACTGTCAAATATCTATTTTTTTCCTCTTTGAAATTATAACAAGTAAAGAAACGTGTGATGATTAATTAATTAATTTGTTACTAAATATATAATTCCTTTTTTTTTTTACAAACGATTACCATTTTCAGAAAATTTGATGATTTTAAAAGGAATGTGCTAAAAAAATTTAAAAAAAAAGCGTTTATAGACCAAAAATTTAAAATAAAAAATAAAACATTTATATCCGTTGAAGTATGAAGTATCCGATTACGCTCGCTTCTATTAAAAACTTCAGACTGGTATTTTAATATAATTGCAATAATAATACTTCAAAATTTCCGAATTTTATGGCAGTAAAAGATGTTAAAAAAATATTTTTTTTTTAAATCTTATTGAAGCTTTCTTTTTAATAGGAGGTGAAAGAGAAAAAAATCAGAAATGTTTACATCAAATCAAAATTTTTACAATAGCTTTGCATTTTGAATCATTTTATAATAGATAAAAATAAAATAAGTTCATTACTGTGTGTAAAAAAGGTCTGTTATCTTATAACTAATCTTAGTTTATTGCATAACTATTAAGCGCTCATGATTGTTCTAATTGACATTTTTGTGTCTGACGGAATGACACGAGCCAGCAAGGAATGCACCCCAAGTGTCACTCATCAGTTACGAAATTTTGAACTTTAAGGCTAACTTAAATGGATGTTTTTTATTTATTGATATTTTAAATTTCAATTTTCATCCCGAATACGAATTCTTTTAGCCGGTAAGCGAGGAACAATGTTGGGCGCTTAAGATTAATAGTAAGATTACTTGTAGATTTTTCGTTTATGTTAATTCAATGAGAAATATGTTTAAATTTCGTCCCAGAAGCTATTCTTATAAGCTATATTATACTCTAAATAATAATAAACAAAAAAATACATTTATATAGTAACGAGAAAAATTTACGATTTCATAGCATATGGTTACCGATTAATTTTTGCAATCGTTTTCAAATTTTCCACTCGTATTAAAAGAGCAAATTTAAGTGCAATTTTTAATACAAATTATTCGTCTCACATTTTTTCTTCAAAGTTCGAACTTAATAGTTTGTATTTCTCATATTAAGGAAAAATAGACCAAAAAAGTTGGGTTTCTTTGCCTTTTCTTTTCTTTTTTTACGTCTCAATCTGTGACATTAAAGTCTCTTTTGTATATAAATTCATCTTAAGTGACGATTCGCAGTGAAGTACCTTCCATGTTTGTTCTCACGAATACGAGTACTTTCAACAATCGGCATAAGTTTTGCATAAATTCAGTGGTTGATTTGATACCGTATAATCTAGTTTGAGAATAATACAATAAAAGAATTCATAACCAGGAAGCCGGGCCCGACTTAGCCTTATTGGGGCCTGAGGCAAAAACTTCTGTGGGGATGCCCACTGTTTCACCACTTCAGTTAATAAAGAACCGAACTTTATGGAGGTATTTACATTTATCTTCTCATTATAGATAACAAGAAAATTGACTAGAACCCAAAATAGGTATAAAGTCCCCACCCTCCAAAGGTCAGACGAAATATCATTTTATCCATTTTATTGATTTTCTGACAATTCTACGTCCATCATGCTGAATGTGGTTTACTAATTGTTAAAATTGTCATCTAGCTGCGAAAAATTCATATCATTGCTGACATCAGGGCGGAATTCAGCTACATTTTCGCTATTACAATGGCTCAATGAAGCCAATCAGAAGCCTGTATTTTTGTAAACATATCGTATTTTGCAATATGTAGAAATACAGGCTTTTGGTTGGCTAAATTGGTTCATCATAATTACGAAAGCTTAGCTGAATTCAGCCCTGGAAAGCCATGGATTTACGACATATAGATTGTGTTCATACAATAGATTAATGAAGAAGCTAACATAAACCAGACGGATTTTAAACGGTACTGATATTTTTTTTTTTAAAAAGTTCATTAAGGAAGGAAACGTAAAATAAACTTTATATTCACCTTGGGGGCCCCCTCTGATGTAGGGGCTCGGGGCAACTGCCCCGTATGCATCAGAGGGGGCCTCCAAACCCAATCATCATCTGTTGACATATTTAAGCGAAATCAGTTACTGTTCGTTAATCTAAACATGAGGTTTTTATTTTTCTATTTCTATTGACAGCTAAAAGTGAAGAGGATGTGTGCAGTTTACCAGCAGAAACAGGAATGTGCATGGCCCTTTTTCATAAATATGCCTACGATGCAGACTTAGGAAAATGCAAACAATTTGTTTATGGTGGATGTGGAGGAAATGGAAATAAATTCAACACTGAAGAAGAATGTGAGAAAGCATGTGGTAAGTTGAAATAGTTTTAATTCACTGACCATTCGAAAATAAGGTTTATTAAAGATTTTAACGTCTAAGGTTGCTTCTAATCAACAAACTTTTGATGAATTCTGCCATACGTTCCTCTTGGTTTAATACATTAGTTAACTCATACAACCAGATTAAAGTATTCTAAAACATTTAACGCGTCTTTACAACAGCAATTGCACGAGAGTTCAAGAAATTTTTAACTTAATGGCACAAGCCTCTGGGACACGCAGGATTATTAGCCCTACACTTGTATCGGTAGACAGAAGAGATCTACGATCATCCTTTTTAGTTTTAGAAAAGCATTTTTGTTTTTAGTTATTATGTTTTTTTATCAAATCGTTTTTAATTTTAATTATTAGCTAACATGGTTAAGCTTCTCTCAACTACAGTTGCAGTTTCTTACAAAGATCTAATAAAAGCTCTTTTGATATTTATTACTTAAAAATGTTTCATAAGAAACCGAGAGTATCAAATCATATAAATAAACAGAACAATTAAAAATATACTTTTTAAAAAATATATATTTTATGTTGTATTATTTATCATTATCCTTATTATATTTAAGTAACAAATTTCTCTTTTTGTATTTTTCAGGAAAGGGAAGAAAATAGACATCTAATTCAAGCATCCAAAATAAAATCCAAAAATAGAAATCCGCTTGATCCTATGAAACTTAGTTTTCCAGATTATTTAGTTTTCAACATTGATCATTATTAGCCTTTCTAAAATTTGAGTTTTCTTCAACATTGTTCACAAGTTTATATTATTGCACCTGAAAATGAATAATTCTTCTAGAACCTAGCTTTCATGCACTCATGTACACATGTGCAGCAAAGCATGTATAATTAAATTAAAGTACAACATCAAAAGTATGTTAAAATAAATTTAAATCAACATGTGTTAATATGTGTAATGTTTTATTGTCTGAATTTATATACAGAACGAAATTCTAATTTTATCGAATCATCATCAAATTTTTGTAGGCAATTTTTCATAAAACTGCTTAGTTTTTCATCTTCCCGGTGTCAAGGTTTCCACTAATTAAATAAATGGCTCAGCCATATAGCCTTACCAGCAAGATTCAGTACTTATGAGAAATTCTGTCATTTTAAGAACAAGAAACTCAATTAACAATTTTACTTATCAATTAATACTGGTTATTTTTCCATGCAACTGTAATATAAAAAATTTCTATATGTATTGGTCAATAACTGTTATGAATTGTTCAATGCTCAGTCAATAAAATTACTGAAAACTGTGAAAATATTCTGTTTTATACAAAGCAGTTCTGAAATTAAAAATAATTTATTTTATAATTATTTTGCTACAAAATTTGCTGTTAAGTCGTGTAAATCATACTTTTTTAGTTTGTCTCTAACTTTCTTTAAAAGAATTCTCTGGTATATGCACTTTTTTGATTGCCTTTCCTGAAAGCGCTGTTCCGATTTTTTTTCCTTGATTCATTATGAAGCCTAACTAACTGAACGAATAACATTTTTGAAATAATGTATTTGTAGCAAAAAGAGCAATTTTTGTTATGGTAATTTATTTCCTTAAACGGAATATTTGTATTTTTCAGATATTTACGAAATTTTCACTTAAAATGTTTTTTTGTTTTTGTTTTTTTTGCACAAATTTGACGAATGTGAATCAAAATTTCCCTTGCAATTGTCTAGCTCGTCAATTTAGTCACCAAGTCAATAAATTTTGATAAAATAGCTGCTTCTGAACTTATTTTAATGCAATTCTAGACAATAATGACGTGAAAACGTAACATTACATAGAATTCAGGTAATTTTGATAATTAGAAGTAGGGGAGAGTGGGGTCAATTGTAACATTTTTTACTTAATTATTTTTAACTAACAAAAAATCCAATATATTATTAGTATTAGTTGACAGACGAGTAAAGTAGACTATCCTCTACCAGAAAAAAAATAAATACCTTATTTTAAATGTTATTATATTAGTTATTAACAATTTTTGAGTCGTGCACTTGTTACAATTGTCCCCACTTACGAGGTCCATTGTAACAGTTCATAAATTCAACTAAAACATAGTTAATTATACATATTATCATAGTTGTGATATATTTTTTTATTGATCAAAATAGTAGTGATATTTTAGGAGTAAAAATAATAATGAGCAGAGACCTAAAGGGTTAAACTTTTAACTTTAAGGGGTTAAAAATTTTAATTTATGCTGTGAAAGGTGACAAATAAAAAAATGCACATGCAACATAATATAAATGATATAGGAAACTATTGGTGGTTCTTAAAGAGTTAAGTAATGGTTTGTAAACATAAGATTATTTATTTTTAGCTGTTACAATCGTCCATTTACTTATTGCTACAATCGTCCCCAAGACGCCATTTCAGCTTCATTTGTTAACAACATTGCTAGTTAATTAACAAAACTAATTCTTTTTTATTGAAATGTTAATTTAGGTGTCCACTTACATATTTGGTTAATAATTTTTATTTGTTTAAACATAATTACTTTGTCACAATATAATATTCTAATACCAAAAAAAGTACTTACGTAGCGTGAAAATATCTTTTGTGATGCAACTCTTTCAAAAGTACATAAAAATGGCTTCCAGCAGGGGTGTACATGTAGATTTATTAAATACACCTTGTGCGTCACCTAGGAACCAAATCTAGAACCCGACACTCGAAATTTGGATCTAGTGTGGCCACTCAAGAAGCGTGAAGAGGCAGTTTGATGGTTTCTCGGTCTAAGATTGAAAGATTCTCCCGGTTTTTTTGCAAAATACCAAGAGTGGTTGGGAGGAGTTCTTATGGTCTTGTTTAATTTCATTTTTGCCAAGGAAAAAATTTCACTAAAGGTAAGCTTCCCACAATGATCAGTGTCTTCTTCGGCAGGCAGCGGATTTGGCCAGGAAGTCAGCCTTCTCATTCCCATCAACCCCAACATGTGAGGGAATCCACTGAAAGTGTATAGAATGGTTGGATGAATTGGTCTGTCAATTAGGTCTAAAATATCAAGGCTGGTCTGATCTCCAATAATATCCCAATTAGAGATATGCTGGATTGAGGCACGACTATTAGTCAATATCCAAATATCTTGAAAATAATCTGCCCGAGCAGCAAATTTTCAAGCCCTTTCTGATAGCAATAAGCTCAGACCTAAAAACTGAACTGTTGTTGGGATTTTTGATCTTGTATTCAATGGCACCCATAGGAGTTGGAATATACACTCCACTACCGGAAATTCCTCCCTCACCTCTGCTACCATCAGTCTATATTTTTAGGGAAGCACGGGGGAATATTCTGGATAGAAAGAATTATATGTCAACTAATTCGATATACGATACGGCTGCGTATTTAATTAATTTATCGTTAGCTAACATTCTAACTTATGTAGAGAAACTTAGCTCAACTTTAATATGATATTTTTCTGATTAAGATTAGCTGGAGCTGACGTCATGGGCCACATGTGTGGGTACGGGAGGTCTTCTTCTTGAAGTGCAAGTACCTAATTGCAATCTTTTTTATTGATTTTATCCCCTTCGTGGTTTCCTAAAGATACATGCTATAGTTTAACCAGTACTTTCAGCTGACATGTGTCTTATAAAAAATTTCTTGTAAAAGGGGAGTTTACAATTTCTATAACTAGTTTAAGATATAGTCAAGTCACTATCATGAGGTTTCTCTTTATTCTCTTTTGTGCAATTTAAAGGCGCTATAGCATTAGGTCAGTAAATCAAAAAATTAATTATTAAGATTTAGTCTCTAATTTACATAATCTGGAAACTTTAACTATCAGATTTTGAAAGAAAAAATTATCCAAAAATTTTTAAATAATAAATCGAAATTCCTTTAACTGTATTGTCTGCACACACATAAGAATAAAAATTAAAAAATTCTCAAATTATACTAAATAATTTGATTATTTATTGAAGTTTACTAAGTTCACGTCATGCAAACTCTACCTATAAATTTTGAGAATAGAAACCATTGTAACAGAGCTCCAATGCAATAGTTTTGTAGAAAGACTGTATAGAGGGAGCCGTAATGAATGTATCTCCGTATTTTTTGAATATGTGGGGCGAAACTAAGTAAAAAGAATTAATTAACACACCAAACTCTATCACCACTCTCTGGGAGTCATACCAAGTTTAATTTTTTTTGATCTTGCAAGTATGTCTCGAGATGCCTCAGTTTTGAAAAAAATTGTACGCTAATGCCATCTGTGATCTAAAAAAAAACACGCTAGTCAAATTGAAATACTTTCTAAATCCAAATCTGCAATAAAAAATAGGAACTCCTATCTAAGATTCTGAAGTTGCCCACTTCCACAGAATTTTAAAGGTCCAATTCGGTATCATTGTTGTTATCTGTTAAATGAGTTTCTCATTTGTATTATTGGATTTTTAATCCGATCTGTTTTTCTAGAATCTAGAATTCTTGCAATATTCGACCCAAACCACTTTATTTGTCTGATTGGACCGGAATGCAATTTTTTTTTTGACATCCGGAATGCATAACAAATTCTCTAATATTTACATGAATATTTTGTTTAGCAATGATTCTAAAAATTTGTATTGAAAACAATTTTAAATTTCTTTCATCCGGTGAATAATATTTCTGTGATAAAACATGGGCATCTCTGACGTGTTTTGTAAAACTACACTGAACCAAATCGTATATGAACTACAGATATTTTAAAAACCTTCTGCCATATTGAAAGAAGTTTTTCATAATGTTGAACTAAACCTACCTGCGTGGCTCTACTTTGGCCTATTTTTATGATGAAGTCGGACAAGGAAAAAAAAAATTTTAGATTAATAGAGTTTTCTCATTTGCAAAGAAATGACTTCAGAACTTGAAGCATTAAAATGTTGAACCAACATAAAATTTTAATATCAACGGAAGTTTTTCTTAATTAGTTTAGGAGTGTTGAAATCGATAAGGCTATTTATTTTGAAACTATATAAAAAGTTATGAAGTTATTTGCGTCTAAAAAAAAAATCCTTGTTATACCCTAGCAGTATTTTTCTTTGAAAATGTCGGGAATAATAGACCAGTGGGAGGCAGAATTTTTTGCTTTCGTTTTTAAATTATTCTTTGGCCTTTTTTCTGTATTTTTTCGTTAGAGTTTTCTTTCCATAATATTTTTAATAATTTCAGATTTTTAAATTTGTTTACCTTTTTCTTCAAAGGAAACATTTTGATTTCGTTTTATTAATGTTATTTGCAAGAGAAAGTTCATATCTAGTTCTGGAGTTACCCGTCTGTATTTTCATTCGAGTGTTGCTCCCAAGGGGCAATTTTATCTCGGAATTTACAGTCTGCGTGCTCTTTGGCTTCACTCTAGACGAGAGGAAGGAGCCTAGCCTCCTGCAACCGACTGGTAGAGCATACTTAGCACCCTGCTAGGGACTACGTGCTGGATCAGGGAAGTGCCCCTGAGCTCTGATAGTTTTGGCGGATCCACGCGCTCCTGCTGTAGTGCTATACCCAGAACTATCCTGGACCTAGTACTGAGGCTGAAGTTTTAAGAGCCGGTATTTCTGTTCCCCTCGTGGGTTCGATGATAGGGATGGGAGTGTCCAGTTGAACGTCCTCGTGAGTTATGGAGATAACAAATAATGATTCACAAAGTTGCAACAACGACTCACCTGAATTTGATCTGTCTAAATGCCCTAATTACGATGCAACTAAAGCTAGCTTTCTAATTCTGAATTCGACAGAGAAGAAACTTAAAACTCAATCACCATTTATTGTCCAAAAATCTCTAGAAAAATAAATAGGAAACCCTAAAAACGTTAGACAGTTACCATCAGGAGTCTTATTTATATTTGCTTTATTTTCCCTCTTTTTTTTTTTTTTTTTTTTTTTTTTTTTTTTGCCTTTATCGATGACAGATTCTTGATTGGTGCCAATCAGATTTTTACTTCTTTCCCCTCTTGTACAACTACCCTCCTTTTCAACGCCTCCCCAAGAGGGAGATATACCATATTTGGTAAGATTTGCGTATCCATGACCCTGATTGGTCAGGATTCATTGTTTTTAGCTAATAATTATTAATTTATGCCTCAAAGTTTTTTCTGTTTCTTCAACTTCAGCTTTGAAAAGTTGTCAAGAATTTTCACCTTAAAAGCTCTGCGAATTTCGAATATTTAAATTAAATGTTTACTCTAGTTAATTTTTTTTTATCAGAAAAAAAAACGGACCATTTTTTTCAGGGCCATCGAGAAATGCTCACGTTGACAGACAGCTCAAAAAATGTTTAAATTTTTCTTCAATTGAAAAATTTTGGTTTTAGTAGTCGTTCTTTAATGCTACGTAAATCATGAACATTGTGTTCAACAATGTTAGATATAAAAGTGCCAAAATTTGATTAGAAATATTTTGAATCTCTTTAAAGTAAAGATTACAAATTTCATAAATATTATTAAACAAAACCCTACAATATTCTTTGGTTAGAAACTCTGAAAATCACTTCTTTTCCTCCTTAAAAAGTGACCAGGCGTCCCGTTTTTGACGGGACAATCGAACTTTTTTTCTCACTGACCCGGCTGCCAAATGCCCCTCCAGACTGTTTTGATTTAAAATTTAAGTCCTGCTTTTAAGTTAAAGTTCCACCAAACGATAAAGTGGGTCCTATGCCATCAAGGGACCAATATTGGAATACCTAGATTTTTTAATATTGGTACTAGAATGACCTTTATAGGGCCCATATTGGCTGAATAATCAATATAAAATATCGGGTGAACCTGACAAATCTATATAGGGCCGATATTTGTTGTAAAATGGCTGCAAGATATCAGATGAATCAGACTATATAATCCCACATCAATAAACCCATATGTATATAAGCTCAATATCGGGAAAATAATGGCTTTTTTGAAAAATAATTTCTTATTAAGCCAAAATTCGTGAATATTGGATCCAATGAAGGCCCAATTTATTTTGCTGCTAGGATAAACTAGATTTTTTTCCTACATTTTGGGAGCATTCTAATTGCGTCCGCAAACGCATGCTCTTTCCCATTCACACACACACATACACTACCGGTCAAAAGTTTGCGAAAATTTTGAAATCTGCAAAGAAAAGGTCTAAATTCAAATGTTCATACAACTGCGAAAAATCATTCAAATGACATGAAAATTTGATATGTTCTAAAGTGAACCCTCTACTGTTAGTTACATATGATCAAATTGCAATACTTTGTTTTTTGCGAACTGAATCCAGCTTTTCATCACGGATTGTTTTTATGGTGAAAAAAGTTGTTAAGTTTGAACACTTGCCAAACTTGCAAAAAATATTTTTTGTACTTTCTGTTAATAGAAAATAGTTATTTGAACAGTTCTATGTAAGCCCTCAAAATTTCAAATCGATTCGATTTTTTTTGACGAAGTTATAGAATTTTGAAAAACATGTGTACTTCTCTCGATTTTTGAGCATTCCACATATGCAGTCTTCTGGTCTATACATCTTCTATCAAAGAACTTTTTAATTTTTATGTTTCTATATTTTCAAATAATTAATATTTATCATAAAACAAATACTCTTATTCATTATTGTAATTATTATTGTTTATATTTATTGTTTATATTTATTGCTTACCTGTATTAGTTTTGTTGTGATATTTTTACTTTATATTAAATTAAATTAAAAAGTTATAACAATAATTACATAAATAATTCTAAAAAAATAATAACAATAGTATAAAAAATTTGCATTTTTATTAAACTATTTTATTTACAACAGGTCAAATATTTAACATATTCTTATTCGTATTTTGTAATTAAATAAATTAACATTTAAATCTTAGATTCCTCGAACCATCCACCTTTTGCTTTTATTATAGCCTTACATATGCATAGCATTCGTTCTAATAAACCATTAATCACTTCAAGTGATATAGAGTTCCATTCCTGTTGTAAAATGTCCCATAACTGACTTCGATTCAAATATCAGAGCATCGTTTGCAAGAACAAACAAATTTTAGATGAAATGTGACATCTATGAGATATTGTTTTAATTATATTCATAATAAGTTCCTTGTAGTAACAATAATTACAATAATAAATAAGAATATTTGTTTTATAATCAATATTAATTATTTGAAAATATAGAAAACATTAAAATTAAAAAGTTCTTTGGTCGAAGATGTATAGACCAAAGGACCGCAAATGTGGAATGCTTAAAAATCGAGAAAAGTACACATGTTTTTCAAAATTCTATAACTTCGTCAAAAAAAATCAAATCGATTTGAAATTTTGAGGACTTACATAGAACTGTTCAAATAACTATTTTCTATTAACAGAAAGTACAAAAAATTTTTTTTGCAAGTTTGGCAAGTGTTCAAACTTAACAACTTTTTTCACCATAGAAACAACTCATGATGAAAAGGTGGATTCAGTTCGCAAAAAACAAAGTATTGCAATTTGATCATATGTAACTAACTGTAAAGAGTTCACATTAGAACATATCAAATTTTCATGCCATTTGAATGATTTTTCGCAGTTCTATGAACATTTGAATTTAGAACTTTTTTTTGTAGATTTCAAAATTTTCGCAAACTTTTGACCGGTAGTGTATATATACATTTTTTTTTTCTTTTTTTTTTTGCAAATTTCGTACTTTTTTACTATATATTTCAAATTTGTATACACTTTAGAATTAAAATATGCAAAAAATTTTAATAATTTTTTTTTTGCTTGCTTGCTTGATACAAAGATATGGCAAAGACAAAATATACATAGGGATAATAGATATGTAATGTACATACAAAATATACATATACAAGGCAAAATCTAAACAAAGTGACTCTAAAAATCCGAAAGTACATCACACGGCTATATGACGGAGGTTTCGATAATTATTTCTGCTGGATACCATCCCATGTTGATCGGGATCATGTGGATCCCCTCACACGGGAATGAACGAGCTAATGTAGTTACAAAAAGTCCGCAGTATAATATACGCAGGAATATTTTAGCACCCTTAGACATCAATCGAATTTGTTAATCATTAGTATATCAAGCCTGGAATGAGCACTAGAATACACAAAATGATAACAAATCACTTGAAATTTTCCCTTCTGTTTATAACTATAAAATAATACCCGTTGACGGCAAAACTCAGTTTTTAATAAACAGGCTTCTTCATTGACCATTCTCGTTGTACCCATATGCATTTGTTGAAAAGCAAATCAGCACCAATTTGTTCACTAAGTTAAGTTGTTATCACTATTAAACATATTTTTACAGACTGCAAACGATTCAAATGCTTGAGATGCAAACTTTTCGGCAGTTTTTATCCTGATCTTCAATCTTTGCTTGATGACCCTATACATTACAGCTTTTAAAGTTTATCAAGACTATAGGAGTTTATTCCCTACAATAAAAAATATATCAGTTTGACTTAGGGACCAATTTTGACCTAGTGACTAGCACAGTATAGCCATTCCTGGCTCTTGTGCTAAGAAACTCCAACCAACTAACATGACAAAATATGTTGTTGCTAATCTCGGAATCGTCTAACAGCGCTAGACGACTCCCATGAATCCGAACATCTCCAAAAAGTCCATAAAAAGACTGGAGTCTCGCAGGACCTCATCTTTACCGAACCCCAAACAAGTCAGAATATGCGCTGGGGTGGCCATGTCTGTCGAGCACCAATGACATTCAGGATAAGTTTTTTGGTCCCGGTTGAAAGTAAGGTATCTAGTGTGGCCACTCAAGAAGCGTGAAGAGGCAGTTTGATGGGTTCTCAGTCTAAGATTGAAAGATTCTCCCGATTTTTTTTTTGCGAAATACCAAGAGTGGTTAGGAGGAGTTCTTATGGTCTTGTTTAATTTCATTTTTGCCACGGAAGAAATTTCACTAAAGGTAAGCTTCCCACAATGATCAGTGTTCTCTTCGGCAGGCAGCGGATTTGGCCTTGGAAGTCAGCCCTCTCATTCCCATCAACCCCAACATGTGAGGGAATCCACTGGAAATTATCCTGTGAGGAAATATACACAGGGATTACAAAATATTTTACGAAGCACATTTTACTTAGTTTCCATGATAAATGTATCAAAACTATAAAAAAAGTACAGAAACTTTGGAATTCCTTTGCTAAAAATATATTCTGACATCCCCCCATCCGAATATAGCATAAAATACGATCAGAAGTTATAGGAGAATGTATCTGCATGATTTAAATAGGCATTTAATTATTCTAACATTATCTAGAAGTATTATTGCCATTGCAAAATATATTATGATTGCATTATATGTTCTAAATACACAACTTAAAACGAAATCATAAAATTGACTAAAGGTATTTAAACAACATTGTTTAAGTATGCAAAGGTGCTGTTCAGCTGTTCTATAACAACGTGTATGTTATGACTTTAGCAGTTAAATATTCTTTGCTGCGCTCTTAAAAGTTATCGTTTCAAATCAGTATAAAGCTGGTTATCATTATAGGTTCATCACTTGAACGATCAAGGCTAACATCATGAAATCAATCATTCTTCTCTGCACTTTGGCACTCTTTCTTGTTGTCTGTGGTAAGTTCGGGAAAAATTAAATTAAGTAACTATTTTTGATAGTAATTGAAAATGAAACGAACAAATGGTTATATTTTGCTTTCTTAATTCTTTCACAATTACTGTATGGCATTGTGACGTATAAGTAACCTTAATTAAGTATTTCTTTTTTTAAATCAAAGATAAAATAGCATTAAAATTGATCTAAACCAGTTTCTTAGTCCTAAGCGATAAGAAATTTTAGGGGGAGTCCATATGATTTTGAAACTTTTTACCGAGAACTAGAAAACAAACTCATATTCATTACAAATTTTTTATTTTAATTTTCACTCATTGTTATCTGCAAAAAAAATATGTCATAAATAATCAATATGATAATTTTAAATTATAATTTTAAATTTTCAAAAGCACTTTGGCTTCCTAGTTTTTAATCTTGAGAACTGTAGTCCATCAGTGACGAACAATCCTAAAAAAATCTCTAAAACTCCCCTTAAAATTAAGAATAGCAAAAATTTCTTTAAAAACATCTAAAAATACTTTAAAAATGGGAAACATTATTTATAAAATAAACAAGAGTTTTAATATGAAGCATTATTTCTTCCCAGGAATCGCATATATTTTTGATATGAATGCATATATCAATCAATCTATTAATCAATCTATTAATCAATAATATCAATCTATTTCGAGTGGCGATTTCCATTAAATCTTGAAATAGATATTAGTAAGAAAAAGTGTTTTATGGTTTTTGCAAGGTTGTATGAGAATTACGATAAGTAAAAGGCAAATATGTTTGAAATATTTCAGACGAAAAAATTACTCAATATAAAACAATCATAAATTGTTAAAAAGATATCTTGGCAGTAAAATATAAATGTTTCCCATGTAAAAAAGACCTTACAAGGAAAAAAATACACCAGAACCCGTAAAAACAACCTTATATAGACAAATTTTCCTAAAAGGAAGTAAATGCATAAGCTATCAAAATCAGGGCTTTAATCATAAAAAATATTCAATCATTAATTACATAGAAAGACCATCAAATTATTTCAGAAGCAATTTTGGCAAATTATGTACCTTAATTAATAACAAAAATAACAATAAAGCACCAGGGTTATACAAAAGAACACATCGAAATGTATATTATCACTGACAAAATGCACGCTCTGCTAATAAAAATATAGCAAAGCTTCCTCATTATTCCAAACAGATAGATAATTTTCGAAAATATAAATAAATAAAAAGGGGGATATTAGAGTAAAACAATTTAAGCAAAATGTGCATATCATGTCGTCATATTACTGCTGCAAATGGCACAGTCAAATAATAAAAAAATAATAACAATTCCAAAATACAGGTGCAAAAAAAATAAATAAATAAAAAACTGGAGAAATAATTTTTAAAATATCTTTATTAAAAATACCTTTAGCAAAAATAAAAAAATTCACAAAATATAATCAGATGACAATAAGATTAGAATTTTACCAATAAATAAATTTAATTGGTTTCTAAGTGCTTGCCTTTTGAATAGACGTAAGCGCTTAATAAAATTTTCAGCAATGTGTCCCCATATGCCACCAAAACTAGAGATAGAGAGCTTTTTTCGATCAGACCAGTGTCAAATTTCGGTGTATTATTTTCTGATGTCATTATTCGACTATTATTAAATAAAATAATGAATAAAATAATTAAATATTAATTACTACATGGATTAATCTTTGGATAAACGAATTTTATTATTGTGTGAAAAAAATTTCCAATTTGCTAAAAAGTTCTCGAGACATAGCGAAATACGTAGAAAGTAAAATTAACACTTAGGGATCCAAACTTTAGACCGCTCTCCTAACCAAACTATTGGGACTATATTTCCAAAATTGCGGCTAATCCCTATATTCTGAGGATAAGGAATCCAAATGCGTGATTTTTCATACAAAATACGTTTTTGTGTCTGATCTCGTAACTTAAAATATCGTTTGTAGTAGTTACTTAACATATTTAAGACCATCCCCTCGAACCATTAAGATCGAGTCTTAGTACGTGAAAATCCGATGTATTCAGGGGTATTTCTTTTTATTTGCTTTATTTTCTTCTCTTTTTTTGGCACTTTACATCAGAATTCTATAACTATTTAAAATTCAATAATTAAATTAATTGAAATAAATTAAATTAGGGACTGGTCTGACAAACTTCTGATTAATATTTTTCAATACGAAAGCAGAAAATTTATTCTCTCCAAATTCCTAAATTTATTACAAAGTTCGTCTTAGAGAATTCGCTGCTATTTGAGATGAATTATAAAATATTGTTTTCAAAATAACTAACATTTGAAACGATAATCTCGCACAGCCTAAAATCAAAATCAACAGTCATCCTTACAAATATTTAATTTTGAATCGTTTCACATGCAACGAAAGACATATTTTCGCAGTTTTTAATTTGCTGCGCCATCTGTTGATGAACTTTGTGACTAATTTTTACATTTGAGAGCAAATAAAATGACTTTTTAAACAAAGTACAACAAAGTGTACATTTCTTTATCCTTCCGTTATTCTTGAATGAATTATTCCAGACAGGAGTTATTTTTGACTCTATCAGTATAAGTCAGTATTTTTGGAATAAATATTAATAAATTATAATTGCAAAATTTTGTAAAGGTGCTGACGATGTGTGCAACTTGCCTTTCGAGACCGGACCTTGTAGAGCCGCCTTCTTAAGATTCCATTTCGATAAAGCATCTGGGGGATGCAAGCAGTTTGTTTATGGAGGATGCCAAGGAAATGGAAATAATTTTAAGACTGAAAAAGAATGCCAAGACGCTTGCGGTAATCTTTACTTTTCCTTTTATTTTAAGGAATTAAATAAATTAAGAATTGTATATTATAGTATATTAATTGTATATTATAATAAAGCCAATTTAAATAGATGTATAAATGGTTTTTGAGGCAAAGTAGCATTGAGGAGTGATGATAGATATTCTAGTCTTCAATGACAATTTCACAGCCAAAGGGCCATTCCTGACAGAACAAACCATAGCGCCATTCTTACTGGATGCAATTTTTTTGCAAGTGATTGTTGTTGTTGCAGTTCATTTACGTTGCACTAGATCTGCACAATGAGCTATTGGCCAGGGTTTGGGAAACATCCCTGAGGATGATCCGAAGACATGCCATCACAATTTCGATCTTCTGCAGTGGAAATGGCTTCCCGCTTCGGTAGCCCGTCGACCTGCACGCGAATTCGAACACTTTACGGTAGAACAGTTTAACGAGGACCAATACAGCACACCCTCGGTCCCTACGCAGACTGATGCAAGTGGTCACGCACCCGCACACTGACTGCAGCTAGTGATGCTTGACTTCGGTGATCTGCTGGGAACCGTGCCTTAATGATCAGTCCACTCCGGGACTTTTGCAAGTGAGAAACTTGCATGTGGACGAAGGTTTTATTAACAAGATTTTCGCGGGCAAATATTTTCCACCAATCTAGTTCTCATTTGCATGCATAAAAAATCACAGTCAATGTAAATGGTCCTGTAGAAATGAATTCATATGAAAACTGCCTGCAAAAAATGCCAATATATGAATTTTTTGCATACAGTATGAAATTCATGTGTGTGAATTGAACTTCAATAGCGAATGAGTAATCTATTTATATTTACCCTCATTGGTAAAATAAATTAACCTGCAAAAAGCTCATAAAATCAGGTTCTCGCTTGCATCTCCAAATTTGCACGCGCTGTTTTTCCCATGCAGTGAGAATAGCCCTAGTACTGACAGGCGGCATAGGCATTTCGTTTATGTCACACTGGAACTACACAAAGGGCTATTGGCGACAGTCTGAGAAACATCTTTGAGGATGATACGAAGACATGCCATCACAATTTGTGAGGCAACTTCCTCAATTTAGATAGAGGGTTGTTCTGAAGGGAAAGGAAATTTTCTCCAGATCTCTGTAACTAAGATACTGTTCAGCAACCGACACCAAGACTTTCGCTCCAAGGATTTTACGATCACGTAAATCGTATGTACTCGGTTGGTCTTTGCAGAGTCGAGTATCGAACCCCGGTCCATCCGGACTGAAGTCCGATTCTCTAACTATTGGCTTAATACGACCTTTCATTTATAGAGCATTCTCACCGTACGTAATTCACATTTGCAAAAACCCGCAAATTTGATTCGCATAGTTTCCTGTAATTCCTTAATGTATTCATGCAGTCGCTAAACGTTCACACAGAACAATCGGATGCAGTGAGCATGGCCACTTTATAGGTGTCGAATAATATTTTTGCGCAATCGCAGAAGATAGTGCATAAAATTCTTGCTGCGAGATTATAATTTTGCCCTATATTTTACTACAAAATGTTGACAACAGAATAATTAGCTGTTGATTCAGTGTAATGTTATTTCAGCTATTTAGGGGAGGTTATAAAATGGTAGCACTGAGAACTGATCCAATTTAGGTTTAACGACTAAAAATATTCACCTCCATTAACTTGTAATCTTCAACCGAACCCAGAAGACAAAGAAACTCCTCAATCAAGCATTGAGATTAACTAGTCTTTCCTGGAGGACTTTTTGATGGAGCTAACCCGTATTTTCACTGCATGTTTATTCAAACCACGATGGCAAGTGAATTCTAACCCATGATCCGATTAACACTAAAAAATTTTTCTTCAGCACTGTGGTAGGTAAGAAGCAGGGGCAGGAATCATATCATCCAGTCATCACTGGGATTCGAACTTTGATCGCCTCGAAACGCTTCACAGGTGAACAACGTGTTGTCTTGGTTAAGTTGAAGTGTAATTTTTCATTATTGCGATCAGGACACACAGACCAGATCATGAAATTTGATCCTTTTTTTTCGAAGTCTAAGTTTATGTTAACATGCCCACGACCTTCTATGCTCTGAGAAATAAAATTGAGTGCCTTTTAAACGAAATTTAACCAGACTTATACAAAACGGACATTAAATATTTTGATAACTATGTATGTCCCTTCATCAAGCAATATACATATTCTATAGACACTTAGTGAGTCAATAAAAAAATCATGTTTTTAATTCTTAATTAAAAACATGAGTTTTGTTTTTCAAAATTATTTCTTGTGTGAATTTTTCTTAACTTGCACGTTGTATCCTAAAATAGCTTAAATTTTCTTTTATTTTTGTAGCTTGAATGAATCAACAGGAAAGAAGAACAAAAAGAATATGTGTGGTTGGATAACAATACTTAAAACTGAAAGTATATGTACAGAAAAATAATTATGATTATGCATGTCAATAAAAACAATTTTCCAAGAGTTTTTTCACTGATTTTTATGAACAGGGCTCAAATGAGCTTTTTAACTAAAAAACTAAGATAAATAATGTCGATCATAAGTGCCAACGATATTTTTATAAGGGTGGACAAAATGTATAAAATCAATAAATAAATTATTTTAAAGGTAAAAAAGAACAAGATTCCGAAGATTATTTTCAAATATTCTTCGGGAAATACAGCTAATTTAAGGAATGCAGCATTTTAATTAATTTATTTTAGAAAAATTCATTTATTTTGGAAATTTTTTTGTTTGCTTCAAAAAAAAAAAAATTTGTGGATAACAAGAAGTAAAATAAAATTACTTTAAAGTCGTCTATTTCGATAATTTTACAATGAATTACAGGGTAAAAAATTGCTGTTATTTTTACAGTAACCTTTGATATATTTTTACAACACCAATGTCGTAACAATAAATGAAAATATTTTTCGCTGTGAAATCAGTTGTTTCTAGTCACTTGCGCCTTAGAACCAATCGAAATTATCACTGACTGAAATCGTTTGCTGCCATTTTTCTGTTGGTTTTAAAACAGTGGATTAGCTTGTTTTTTCTTATTTAATTAGCTTGTTTGATAATTAGTAATTTTGTTGACATTAGTAGTTTTTTATTCGCGTGCAGGTCGTTGGGCTACCGAAGCGGGGGTGCCATCCCCTCTGCAGAGGATCAAAATTGCGATGGCATGTCTTCGGATCATCCTCAAGGATGTTTCCCAGACCGTCGCCAATAGCCCATTGTGCAGCTCTAGTGCGACGTAAATGAACTACAACTACAACTAGTAATTTTGTATTGTTGTAATTTTTACATAATATTAATAAGCTTTTTTAATATGATAGAGATGGGGTTGAAAATCAATTAAATTCTGTTGAAGCTGGTGTATTCCCTGGTTTTGAAGCAAAAATTTGATTTATGAAACTGAGCAATTAAAGCTATAAGAAGAGTGTACTTAATCTTAGATCAATTGGGTACTTGCAACTCGAGAAGAAGACGATCACTGGAACACGGACACGTGACCTATGATCTCAGTGTCAGCTGATCGTTTACATACAATACGGCATGTTAAAGTCGAGCTAAATTTATCCGCATAGGTTAGAATGCTGACCTAATAACGTGAACCTCAATAAATACAACGCTTTACAATACAACGTACTTATATTAACGATGAGTTAATTAAAACATTTAACATTCAAAACGATTAAATTTCTTTAAAGAAAACAAATAATGCGATTAAATTAAAAAGGTGTACAGTATATTTAATAACAGCATATTTAATGACAATAGTATTATTTAAACGCGTGGACAATGTTTTTTGAAAATATTTTTATATTCCTATTATATACGAATATTTCATTGATAACCTGTAAGATGATATGTTATAATGATTTGTACGATTCTTAATTTGTATTTTATGAGATTGCGTATGAGATATTAAATATATATCATATCATATGCGATATTCAATAATAATGGAAGATATTTGTCACCGTTATTTGTTTCATAAACATTAGTTTATTTTTGACATTGTCTCGTTAGTTAAACTATTTAAACACTTGTCACTTTCAATATGTAGTGCTTTTATACTAGTAGTATCTATATATATATTTCTCTTACACGGCGGCAAAAAAAAAGCCTCATTACAACTCCCCTAATGGCAACGCTAGAAAATCGACCAATGATTGCCGCTAAAAATGTCACATGCCAAATCTAGCAGAAGTGGCTCAACATATAGCGCTTTTCAAAACGGAAACGGAAATAACCTTAAGCTAGGCAGAAGTGAGTAGTCTTTGTNAAATTGCGGCTAATCCCTATATTCTGAGGATAAGGAATCCAAATGCGTGATTTTTCATACAAAATACGTTTTTGTGTCTGATCTCGTAACTTAAAATATCGTTTGTAGTAGTTACTTAACATATTTAAGACCACCCCATCGAACCATTAAGATCGAGTCCTAGAACGTGAAAATTCTTTTTACTTGTTTTATTTTCTTTTTTTGGCACTTTACATTAGAATTCTATAACTATTTAAAATTCAATAATTAAATTAATTGAAATAAATTAAATTAGGGACTGGTCCGACACACTTCAGACTAATATTCTTCAATTCGAAAGCAGAAAATTTATTCTCCCCAAATTTCAAAATTTATTACAAAGTTCGTCTTAGAAAATTCGCTTTTATCTGAGATAAGTTATGAAATATTGTTTTCAAAATAACTAACATTTGAAACAATAATCTCGCACAGCCTAAAATCAAAATCAACAGACATCCTTACAAATATTTAATTTTGAATCGTTTGACTTGCAATGAAAGACATATTTTCGCAGTTTTTAATCTGCTGCGCCATCTGTTGATGAACTTTGGAACTAATTTTTGTATTTGAGAGAAAATAAAATTACTTTTTAAACAAAGTACAACAAAGTGTACATTTCTTTCTCCTTCAGTTATTCTTGGATTAATTATTCTAGTCAGGGGTTATATTTGACTCGATCAGTATAAGTCAGTATTTTTGGAATAAATATTAGTAAATTAATATTTCAAAATTTTGTAAAGGTGCTGACGATTTGTGCAACTTGCCTTTCGAGACCGGACCTTGTAGAGCCGGCTTCTTAAGATTCCATTTCGATAAAGCATCTGGGGGATGCAAACAGTTTGTTTATGGAGGATGCCAAGGAAATGGAAATAATTTTAAGACTGAAAAAGAATGCCAAGACGCTTGCGGTAATCTTTACTTTTATTTTAAAGAATTAAATAAATTAAGAAACTCGACAAATTTATTGTACATTGTAATAAAGCCAATTTAAATAGATGTATAAATGGTCAATGAGGCAAACTAGCAATGAGGAGTGATGATAGATATTCTAGTCTTCAATGACATTTTCACAGCGAAAGAGCTATTCCTAACGAAACGAACAACAGTGCCACTCTTACAGGATGCGATTATTTTGCAACAGAAAAACTTGCATGTGGACGAAGATTTCATTGACGAGATTTTCGCTGGCAAATATTTTCTATAATCTGGTTCTCATTCTCATGCAGAAAAAATCCCAGTCAATGTAAATGGTCCTGTAGAAATGTAGTAGTAGTTCATTTACGTTGCACCACAGCTGTACAATGGGCTATTGGCGAGGGTCTGGGAAACATCCCTGAGGGTGATCCGAAGACATGTCATCACAATTTTGATCCTCTGCAGTGGGGATGGCACCCCGCTTCGGTAGCCCGACGACCTGTACACGAATTCGAACACTTTACGGTAGAACAGTTTAAAGATAACCAGTACCGCACACCCTCGGTCCCTACGCAGACTGATGCAAATGGTCACCCACTCGCACACTGACAGTAGCCCGTGGTGCTTGACTTCGGTGATCTGCTGGGAACCGTGCCTTAACGATTTACTGCGGGACTTTTGCAAGATGAAAAACTTGCATGTGGTTGAAGATTTTATTGACAAGCTTTTCGCGGGCAAATATTTTCCACCAATCTGGTTCTCATTCGAATGCAGAAAAAATCACAGTCAATGTGAATGGTCCTGTAGAAATGAATTCATATGAAAACTGCTTGCAAACAATGCGAATATATGAATTTTTTGCATACAGTATGAAATTCATGTGTGTGAATTGAACTTCAATGGTGAATGAGTAATCTATTTATATTTACCCTCTTTGATAAAATAAATTAACCCGTTGTTGTTGTTGTTCATTTACGTCGCACTAGAGCTGCACAATGGGCTATTGGCGACGGTCTGGGAAACATCCCTGAGGATGATCCGAAGACATGCCATTACAATTTTGATCCTCTGCGGAGGGGATGGCACTCCCGCTTCGGTAGCCCCACGACCTGCACGCGAAGTCGAGCACTTTACGGTAGAACAGTTTAACGAGGACCAATACCGCGCATCCTCGGTCCCTACGCAGGCCGATTCAAGTGGTCACCCACCCGCACACTGACCGCAGCCAGTGATGCTTGACTTCGGTGTTCTGCTGGGAACCGTGTCTTAACGATCAGTCCACTGCGGGACATAAATTAACCCGCAAAAAGCTCATAAAATCAGGTTCTCGCTTGCATCTCCAAATTTGCACACGCTGTTTTTCCCATGCAGTGAGAATAGCCCTAGTACTGATAGGTAGGCATTTCATTGATGTCACACTGGAACTACACAAAGGGCTATTGGCGACAGTCTGAAAAACATCTTTGAGGGTGATACGAAGACATTGCCATCGCAATTTGTAAGGCAACTTTCTCACTTAAGCCATAGGGTTATTCTGAAGGGAAAGGAAATTTTCTCCAGATCTCTGCAACTAAGATACTGTTCAGCAACCGACACCAAGACTTTCGCTCCACGGATTTTACGATCACGTATATCGCATGTACTCGTTGGATCTTTGCAGAGTCGAGTATCAAACCCAGGCCCCTCCGGAGTCTCCGGAGTCTGGAGTCTGAACTACCACTGAAAAAATTTTGCTTCAGCTCTTTGGTAAGAAAGAACCGTGGGCAGAATTCATATCAACCAGTCATCACTGGGATTCGAACCTTAAGCGCCTCGAACCGCTTCACAGGTGAACAACGTGTTGTCTTAGCTAAGTAGAAGTGTGATTTTCCATTATCGTGATCAGGACACCATCCAGATCATGAAATTTGACCCGCTGTTTGAAAGTCTAAGTTCACGTCAACATGTCCACGACCTTCTATGCTCTGAGAAATAAAATTGAATGCCTTTTAAACGAAATTTAACCCAACTTATACAAAACGGACATTAAATATTTTGACAAATTATGTATGCGAGTAAGTCCCTTCATCAAGCAATATGCTATTTCATACATATTCTATAGACACTTTGTGAGTCATTAAAAAAATCTTAATTAAAAACATGAGTTTTGTTTTTCAAAATTATTTCTTGTGTGAATGTTTCTTAACTTGTACGTTGTATCTTAAAATATCTTAAATTTTCTTTTACTTTTGTAGCTTGAATGAATCAACAGGAAAGAAAAAAG